GCTTAAAGCACATTCCTAAATCGTCAGATGATATAAAAAGAAAACTTGAGAACGAATCAGCAATAGCATTACACTCGATTGAATCGGGTCATACAGTTGATTTTAATGGCGCAAGAATAATTCAAAAAGGCTTTAACTCTTACAAAGAACGACTGACAGCCGAAGCCCTACATATATGTGCTAATTCAAACAGTATTAATAGGAGAAATGGAATACAATTAGCTGTCTCATGGCAACTAATAATTAATAAGTAAACCTGAACTCCTTATTCCATTCTATCTATATATATTATAATAACTAATCAATAGATAATACATTTAACGGTTCAAATCATTTATCGTATCTGAATATGTTAAACAATTGACGGGAGCACTAAAATAACACAAACTTTCAATTACAAATACATTCTTACTCTTTGAATTCAGTCTGTTATCTTGTTTATTTATCTTCATTTAATGCATGCTGTGACATTTTCTTAATATACACATACCAAAGACAATATATATATAGTTGAATGAAATTTCTTCTCACATCACTTACGTAGACACACAATCTGTTATCTTAACACTTTTCGTTTTTTCACAACACAAGTCTCTTACACACTTATGTAAATACCTACTTCAAACAGGGTTCACGTTGATTAGATGTTTTTATGCAGTATACAGTGAACCAGAGAAGCTTGTACCTATTTATATTCGATTATTTTGTTGTTTGATTATAATTTTCCTTGAAAAAGCTTGGACCAGATTGCCAGGTGATACGTTGGATTTACTTAAAATTCATTCGCTGAGATTTTACAAATATAGTTTTTCCTCTTTAATGTCTCACATTAACTCGGTGCCCAAATATTGTGAAACTATTCGTTCAAATTTAGACGACAGTTCTTATTTAATGTAAAAATCGTCATGATGAAACGCCCAATTGTTTTTTCGCTTACGTTATCACCAAACCATCTTTGAAATTTAGTATTATTATGATTAATATGTTTTCATCTTATTGTTTCTTAGAAAATCAATATAATTTTAACCGTAAGTAATCCTATGCATCGGATTACAACATTTTCATTACGTCAGTTAACTCCACAAGAAGAAATAGAACATCTTGGACATTTAATTAACAACAATAACCAAGAACTAAATTCATCTTTATCTACAGTCAAAATTCAACCTATTGATAATGCTAGTGAATCAAAAAAGGATCCTAGTCCTATCAGTAGTGACACAGCATCATCATTATCTGATGATCAATTAACATGTTTTTCAACTGTAAATGTAAGTTACCGTATAGCAACTATTTGTTTATATAACTTATCCTGTATCTTTGTCTCTATTCGATACTTTATATTATAGTGAAAGAATTCGCTGCCAAGATTTAGATATTTCTGTCTTTTTCATGGTTCATATTAAGTACCGTTAGTTATATGAGGGTGGTTGTCACTTGTCAATTGCCTACATCATGCAAAGATAATTCTGCTTGAAGGGATTATAAAACGAAACTGGATTAGAGGTAAACTTGATAACCTGACAGGTTGACTGCAGAGATAAAGGGATAACTACCTGAAGTCAATCATACACAACTTTTTGGTGAGTGTTTCTTGATTTGTCGTTGGCTCTGTATTTTTCAGACTTTACCACCATCAGTGAAAATCTGTAGAACCAATTGATATTTACTATTGTTTATTATAGGGATTTTCTAACCCCGCTTCCAGCAGCAATATTGAATATAAGAACAACATTTTATTGTCTGCCTGTACGCTCTTTTACAGTTGGTCGTACGTTTTCTCACCCTCTGAAAATGCTCCCACATGGCCACGTGTATATAGCCTCTGTCAGGGACGTCCTACTCACTGCCTTCACGTGGCATTACTGTTGTTTACGAAAATGAGCGAATGTCCGGCGCTCTAACCGGATCCCAAACCAATGGTGCACATGGGCTCCAGTATCCTGAAGGAACAAATTGCTACCATAGGACTGCATCTCCTTACGATGCCCCACTGCCTTGTGGATCAGATCTTCAGGTCGAAGGCTCGGGGTGTGGCCCTTTAAAAAAACCATCTGCTTCGGTTTGGGCACCCGGGCAGTATCACAGACCTTACACAAATCAAATGTGTGGCGCATATGTATTTGGTGCCTCTTTGTACCAATATCTATTTCTTCAAATAATAAATAATAACAGATAATAAGCCTATTAAAAGAGCGACGAGCCAACAAAGAATAGGAGAGTTTTGACTAAGAAAAAAAAACAAGAATTTCAAATTTTATAGAAATAAAAACCCAAACAGAATAACAAGTAAGTAATTGGATTTTAGGTTGATTTGAAATATTCTCAATATTAACCATTTATTGTGAAATAAGCACAGTTTAATTGCATAGTTGCTTTTCCCTGTTCTTTTGTTATTGACTAGCTCATTTTACCAACCGAAGAGTTAAAACTTGCACCTCGTAATGACATTATGGATTGTGATGTAACTCCAGGTCAGAGTTCTGGTGATTACAAAGATGATCCTAAGTAAGTTAAAGATAATACTGTTGAACTATTGATGAAATTACACTAACTATCCCATGTGAATTGATGCATAAGTAGTGATCAGTATTATGTTTATCTAGTTGTATGGACTATACTTAAGTAGTTGAAAGTAGTCAAGTGATACTAGTTCAAATCCTACAGGGAGTACCAAACATGTAATTTCAATTCTAATGTAACAGTGGTCTAAATTAGCTCATGACTATTTTGTAATTTAACATGTACCATTGACTATCTAATAATTGAAAGGGGTAGAAGACTTGAGATCTAATATGAGCATATATCAGTCCAGATTTTCACATTTCTTATCTGCACAGTGAAAAAGACAGAGAGTATCATCAGTCTAACCGTGATCAATGTAATTCTGTAACAAAATAAAGTTATTCTGTACTATTTGGTTATAGTTAACATAGAATCCGAAATAAATGTACATCACCTCAAATACATAAACTACAACATCAGCACAGAAAAAGAATTGAGATAACAGTGGTATCAATGGGACTCAGAGGCTACGAAAAGATAGAGTTAATCCATCTGTACCATTGTAACCGACTCTGGGTCATATCACACATTGTATGATCGCAAATGGACCCTGTACACATAGTCTGCATATCTATCGGGTTACGTTTTACACCTATCAAGCAGAAAGGAGCGAACTGTTGTACAGTGAACTCGTTCATCCGTTGGCTAAAGAATACCTTGCCTACGCTACAAATGACTCACATTAGCAAAGGTCGACTGAGCTTTCTGAATTCGTATCATTTCATAAAAATGTTGAGTGGCTAAGTCACTAAGAATGGCAGTCCCCATATTTAATGCTTATATTATATTTACACCTTTTTGAATCAATCAGGCTATTGTAGATAATCCTACAACAATAGTGGAACTTTGATAATTAACACTAAACTATAGTCGAACAATAGGAGTAAAACCTTACTGTGACTTTAATATTCCTGTAACCTCAATAACTTTTGTTTCCTCTTCTTTTGTTAATTCCTATCTAGGATAGTGGCCTTCCGTCGTGGTAACAAACTAGGTATTAATGTTACTTTGATACCAAAAACTAATAAGTTACTGACATTACAAAATACAAGTTTAGTTCCAGTTAGTGAAGATCAAATAGTTGATCAATTTCACAAATCTGAACAACTAATCCCTTTACAAGCTGCAATTTACATGAATTTCGATTATAAAAACACATCAACTACTCTGTTAAGTGCAGCGAGTAATAAAACAGCGGCAACTGACACTACTAAAACACAAGGAAAGATTCCAGAAACAACTGCAACCACTGAAACATCAATATTGTCAGCAACAACTACCACTACCTCTACAACATTAGAGCAACGTGTTTTACCTCCAGCTGATGAAATCAAACAAATTCAAATAGTAGCATTATTTAATTTTGGTTATATGCCTGTCAATGAATAAATGAAGTACATCTCCTTCTAATAATAACTATTCTGTTGACTTTCAGTCATTTAATTATTTGATCAGAGTTAACATGACTTTTACTTTGTGATGAAGCGTATTTATTATTAACTTGTAAACGGTGTGTTTGGTTTACATTATTCTTTTATCATCGCTTTTTTTTCATATTTGAGGGTGTTTATGGTGACTATTGAAAATAATAACAAACAGTTAAATCTTTCAATTAATTACATTGAACTTCACTTTACAACACAATAATAGTCAGTCAGTCAGCTGCAACGTAGGACCAGGCACGTATATGCATCGATCCAAGTTGCCATACCGCATTAGCACAACAAGATGAACACCGGATTCATAGGAGTAGTTAATTCAGTGGTGGTAATATATAGAAGAAAGAGTGTGTATAAGGAGATAGCACAGGAAGATAGAATTAGTTCCTAGAAAGAATGATATGAAGCGATTTTAATCTCTTAGATTAAAGGAAGACAGACCGTTGTTGCTACCTTGACGTGGTGGTCGGGCTTGCCTATCGTGATGAAGCAACTGAGCTATACTGGCTGGAACAACCGTTCCTCAAGGTCCTACCATGCCAGACAGGTCGGTTGAAGAGCGGTAAGACTAAAAGCAACAAAACCAAGGTCCGAAGGCGAAGTCGTACTGCTGACTGTACAGAGGTGTGACGGCAGTAAGGTGTTTCCTTCAGACAACCAGCATAACAGCAATGCTGCCTTCCCAAAAGGAGGGGAGGGGTTAGAAAAGGTCGACCCTAAAAATGCACACCTCGTCTTATCCCACGGATATCCGTCTCCGGCGGCAAGGTCTCAACAAGTATGGAGCTAACACAAAAATTACTCATAAACAGGTCGTGTGTGACCGACCTCAAGCAGCTGTCCCTTGGGCACTGCGGTCACGCTCTCAGGTCACTAAGACCACCCCTAACACAATTCCATTTTCAGGTACCTCCGGAAGAACCCTTCCACGGTGTAGGCAACCGGGAAGTGATAACCGCCCTCATACCTCTAACAGCACTCAAGACCACAACACAATAATAAGTGCAAGTCTTATTTACAAATAAATATTATCATACATATCACTGATGTCATTTTAACGTATCAGGTTTCTATTTGGGTTTTCTCTCCACTTAAAATATCTTCAACACACCATACTTCTTCGAATGCAGTACATATTCGAGCGCATGTCTGAGCGGCCGATAAAGGAAAGTTACTAATACTAACTGTACGTTGTGTAAATTCTTTACAATTATCAACAACTGAACCATGAGCTAATGCACCAATAACAATGACAAGTGATTGAGGATTAGGTTTCTGTGTCTCTTCAGCTAGTTGGATTGGTTTAATTTGTTCCTTTGATGAGAACGACATTGTAATGACTGGAGCACCAATTGGAAAGTGTCGTGTTACAGGGTTTTTGACAACCTTTAATAGTTTCTCACGATTGCCACCTTCAGCATGTATTGAGAGTTTGTGTAATAGTTGCACCATAAGTCCACAAAATCGATCGAATGTACGTGGTATTCTTGTTTTAGGATTCACTTCGATTATTACATTTTTTCTTGTTCGAATAAAAACCTTTGGGAAAATTGAAACAAATGTGTCAGTATAATTAAAATGAACTATTTTCAGTTAAGATGAAAAATATCCTGCAGTTTAAAAATACAGTCAATACAAAGAAACAAATCCAGTATAAGATATCCCTAAAAAGCATTCTAGTAAAGCAATAACTGCATTTTTACTTGAAGGTAGTAGTCAGCAGGAAGTTTTCTATTTGAATTTTTACGCGGGATTGTATTGCTGTATGCAAATGACTCGTCAAATTCGAGCTGCGGTCTGCTCGGTACCAGTTAGTTACCCGGTAGTCTACTTATTCCTTTGAATAGACACTGCTATAAATCAGATAGGAATCATGATATGAATGTGTTTTCGGTGGTTTAGATGATTAAAAACGCCCTTATAGAGCTTTATTTATACATCACAGGATGTAATACGTATAGTGTCAAACGGCATCTTGCAGTTCGAGGATTAAAATCTAGCTAAGTCACAATCAGGCTGGAAAGGAAAAGTATCGTATCTAGACGCTGTCAATCTTGAATTCAGAGTCACTGACGCAGTCTGCGCAAATTGTTCTCTTAACTCATCCACATGACAGATATAAATTGCATTCAAAGTTGTGAGGTTAATCATTAATAAAGGAACGAGAATAACAAGATAATGGACTTGCACCATAAAGGTAATTATTGTTTGTTTAGTACAAATTTTGCCGTCTGTAAGACATCAATTGTACAATATAATGTACATTACTTTTAAAGAGGTGATGTCTCCTTTCCTTTTACCGAGACAGATAATTGAGTATGATTTTAAGGATATTCATCTAAATAGACAGTCAAGTGAAAGAAACAGTTTAGAAGTGCAGTTAGCTTTTGGTGAAGCAATTATATTTAAATAAGCAACAGGTAGGACCTTATAATATGTAGCCTGATATCAAACGCATCATCATACTGAATAGGCTGAACTAACCTGAAGTTTACCAACTCGGTTTAATGGACTATCAAGTAGCATGAGTAGACACTGATGGGTAATATCTGGACGAACTGTAGCAACATCAACACCGGCCTTTAAAATCCGGTCTTTATGCCTATCAGGATTAAGCAGTTGGAACTCTTTTCCACTAGATGCCTTTACTGACTCTAGTGAAGCCTGATCAAGCAAAATGTACAGTTTCACTGAATCGTTTCCTGGCATTATTCGGCATGTGCAACTAAGTAACGTCAAGCTCAAAATGGTGCCAATATAAGCATTAAACAATTTACAATCCACTCTGTAGTAGCAATAAGTCTTATCCTTGTGATTAGTAGAACTGTGGGGATCCGATCTCACTTTGGAAGGATAAAAAAAAGTGCTAATATTACGTGTTCTGGTAGAGAACTCTAAATACTTCAAAGTTCAGTAAGGACAGAAGGCCTACGGCCTATGCTACTACTTTTCTAGTACGTTTCTGTGAGTGTTTAGTATTCTCTTGAATGGGTCAACTAAGGGTGTAGACACCACTACTTCGGATAAAAAGTTTCAAGAATTGGTGAAAACTTGAATGCCATATATATTTCGTTCGTTCTTGGCTTTTCTACTCGTCTTCTATGTCCTTTGAGATGTCCCAACCCAGTGTGAAGAGAATGGGAAGATGTATTGGGTCTAAAATCATTTCTCATAATTTTTTACATCAAAATCAGATAATCTCTTATTCCGCGGTAGGACGGAGTAAAGAGGTCTAACTGTTCAATCCGTTCTTTCTATGGTAAACCCCGGAGTTCTTGAATTGCATTAGTAGCTGCCTTCCGTACTTTTTCCGAGTTTTCCAAGTCGCCCTAAATTGTTCTGGATGGAAAAAAAAAGCTTTTACATAACGAGCCTCTGTATTTAGTACCATTGGATCTTCGATGCCTCCAAGTAGGACCCTGGATATATTTAACGATAAAAGGAGAAATATTATTAGGTTATAGTGAGAAACTATCCTAGGTCTTTAAGAATATGGCAAGCTTTCCTCCAAAGGACTCCTGGGAAGTCGTCTGGGCTATTTTAGTCGGCGGCGAGTTCCAGAATTTGACTACTCTTAAAGAGTAAACTTTGGGCCTATGGTCCATTCTTCCACGTTGAATCTCTGATTTCGCGGTGTTACTCCCAAGATTTGTGTTGAGATTGAGCTTGAGCAAGTGTCCAAGAGGACGCTCGTGAGTGTTTAGGACGCTTCAAGTCATTATCAAGTCACCTCTGAGACGCTTACGGTCTCATAGGTAAAGTGTCAATGGTTTGAGGAGCTCTTTATATAGCTAGTATCCGAGTCACTGAATTGATTTTGTGACTCGCCTTTGGATACGTTTCGGTGTCCTTTTGGCGTGAAAGATGAAGACAATATTTTCATTGTCTGAGATTGAAGAGAAATCCTGATGTTTAGATGGAGATTTCTGCTACCGGACTGGGCAAAAATGCGCCCCAGCCTTACTGGTGTGAGGTTTTCCTTTGAAGGCATTCTGTCGCAGTTAGCGTAAGACAAATATCATATGGTTCCAACATTCTTAAATCTGTGTGTATGGGGATTTGTTGAGTTTGCAGTATATTAGCAGTTCAATTCACGAGTCAACCTAGGCTAGGTCACTATTGAAAACCTGGAAGCGCTGGACAGCCGTGTCATCCAATGGTTCCATGGTTCCAATGGTGATGTAGTGTAGATCGACTCGTATAGTTTGTTGTTAATAATTACCAAAGATCCGCAAGTGTGCAGAAGACAAGCACACGTGAAATTGCTTCAAATAACCTGTTTACACAAAAGATTGTTATTGGCAGTAATGAATTTCAACATTAAAATGCTAGGAATCTTCGATAGCTAAAAGCATACTCACAAAAACCCATGTCCTGTTTAATATATGTCAACAAACTATTTCTTTGATTGTACTGACATTCGATGATTAATTATGATAATTCACCATGTAAAACGCTTACATAGGCGTTTATAGCATAGTAATAATAGTTTGCATACCATCATTAACTACGATGCTTACTTTTAACAATTTCAACAATATGACAAAAGCGAATTCTTGGAACCTCCTGAGCCGTTTATATGGATGTTTATGGTCTTGTTTTACAACCTGCTGAGGACTTTGACCGTGCAGCTTTTCATATATTTCTTTTCTAGACTTTTGATTTGGTTTCAGTTGGTATGTCGTTGTTATAATAATAATAATAATAATAATTTATTTTCAAATAACAGTTCGTTACATGATGCATGCCAGTTTACAGGCAAGATCAAATTGTTATAAATGATACAATTTCCACTGTAGTGGATTACTCAGCTGGGTCGATAATTTATAAGATATGAATGTAGATGGTTTTAGTCAGTATCATAGTTGGCGCGCTTCATTAAAGTCGCGTTACAACGTGCACCTGATGGTCGATAATAGATTCATGTGAAGTTGGAGGCTTCTAGAAATCGTAACCTTATATCCCTTTGGAATATCTGAGGCTTTAAGGATAGGACAAGACGAGGTCACCCGTTCAGTATCGCAAGGGCGCTAAAAAATGGTGCGAGAAAAAGAAAGGACGAGAAGCAGAGCAGACAGTGTTCATGAAGAAATAGTTAAGGTATGACTACTCAGTCTAATTCTCTTTTATTAAAGTATTTATTGAACAGGAGCATTCTAATAGGTTAAAAAATGTGTTAACATGGTATGAGTGGAAAAACAACTGACAAATGGAGGTGGTTCAGAAAGGAACTGAGAGGATGGGATTATGTGTAGTTATAAAATATAGTGCTAAAAACAGTATTATGATACACAAATGGTTGTTGATAAAGATATGAAAATAAAAAACTAGAACCACATGATCACTCTTGCCTAGTGGTGGCATGTAAACGAGGTTTAGTAATGTTGACTTCGATCTCGAGTTATACCTAATCACTTCTTTCAGGTGTTACTCTAGAATGCATGCAATAACCTCGTGGACAATATTTTAAACAAACGATTTCTCAGGGGACTTCCCATAGATATTTCTGATCGGCAGTAAGTGAATTAAAGTCTCCTAAGATAGGACATCCATCACTAGGAGTGCAAGCATGAAGTTTTTCTGGCTGGATATCGTTTACCTAGCATTTTAAACTGTAACCATTCAAACTAACCACCAGCTCTTGTCTCATGTCATTTAAGCGGTGGCCAAATATTACATTTCATGAAACCCAATTATGGGTGCTCTTAACTGTTAAGCAATTTTAGTTGAAAATATTTAATGTGGTATTTACCATTGTCCTATGTAGAAATTCGGGATTACTCTGAACAGACTTTGTCATACAAGGTAGGAGAGTCATTCCATCGTAGTTGATTTTCTGATTACACATTTTGCACGGCAGGACCAGTAACCTGTGTCGTTGAAGGCACATCAACTGTAGCAGGTCACGAACAATATTGAGCGGTTTCAGTGTATGTTTGTTTATAGCCGGATTTAGGTTAAGGCAGAAGTCAATGTGAATCAATCCACTTTTGTCAATATTAAGTGGTGAATTTAACGAAGTAGTCCATTCGTACAACTTGTTTATGTGTTCTTGTACTACCGCTGAAATATAGCATTCTTTGTTGGGAGAGGAGAATAAATAAACCACTTTTAGGTCATTGGCAAAAAGGAAAGGCTTATCATACTGAAAGAGGGAACATACGTCATTGATAAAAAGGAGAAAGAGTAATGGACCAACCACACTTCCTTGTATAACCCTGATGATTACATCCACAAGTCTAGAGTAGCAAGATCCAAAGCAAACCATTTGGCCACGTTCTTCTAAAAAAGATTTGAACTGAGATAAAAGGGGATTCATTCCGTATGCCAAATGAAGAAACTTTCAGAAGAAGTTTGTGTGAAACACTGTTGAAAACCTTACTAAAATAGAAGTACAGAATTATCACTGACTGCCCTCTCTGGGTAATTTTACCAAAAATTTTCAGGTGCTATGTGCAGCATGAGTGTTTAGTTACAAATCCGTGTTGGGATGGGCTAATCAGGCTAGCCGAAAATAAAAATGATAATGGCGTAGGTTAGGCATTTTAATACTCAACCAGCCGTACTAGATTATGACTATCAATTTAGCAACAAATAAGTTTATTAACAGCTATCACAATCTCAAATGCAGAGTATTGTTTTAAATGCACCGTATAATGTCCAAGTCATCTATCCTATGAGAGGAATTTCCTCCTGAGTTCGTAAGGTAAGCAAAGCACAACTCCATCACCTGAAGCGCCAAATCTACCACTAAGAAACCGCTTGAAGTCAACAAAGTAAAGTTCGACATCGTAGCCCCTTCACATTACTTTATAGACAGTTAATAGAAAAAATCAAGTCTTTGAGTATACTGGTTATGCGGTAAGTCATGTGGAGGGAGGAAAAACGAAGTCGCAAGTCAACCTTTATTAGTGGGTGGATTGATCTGTATAACTTCTGCTTGTCATACAAGGGGTTAGAATTAGACTGTACAATTTATTCGAAGCAGAAACATCAGGGTGTTGCACGACTTAGCTGAGCACTAAACAGATTGATCAAGAAACTCTTGGTCCGAGAATGGATATTTTATAATACGTACCAAAATTCGGATGAAGTTTAGTTCAGGATATTGCACGTGACATTAATCAGCACTTAAAATGTGCATTTCAAGCGAAAAGCTGCTGTTTCTGAATCTGAAATACTGTGAAGACTCAAAATTGTGAGGTTCAATTAGGTAGGAAGAATTTCTGATTTATTAAATGTGGAAAGCTTCAAATATTGGGAGATGTGTTCATACTATTAACATTTAGACTTTGGTAGGAATATATCCTTCTTTCCTGTCCTAGATAACTCATCTCAGGTAACACCTTAATAGAGCTCACAAATGTAGATATGTCTAGATTCATTTCTATGACCTAATCTTGAAATACGTGTGCTCTTTATCGAAATACCTGTTGATATGTAAGTTCAATAACTTTAGGGTATTGATTTGCTGATTTACCGTTTGTATTATTTTCTATCCCTATTCTCAAAGACTGAAATATCTAGAAATTTGTTTTGGTTACCCAAAATTTGAACACAAAACAAAAAGCTATCAACATATTGTTGATTAAGTCTTTTGCAGTTTTCCCGGCAGACTACCTTCAAAGTGACTGTGTAATCGTCTTCAGTCTTCAGTTGTAGGGACAGCAGGTTAATGGACCTGTGCTAATCCTAACAGTTTGCTTTTCAGTGAAGGCCCAGCGTCTTCTTGGAAAGGTTCACTGATGGCGTTCCAGTCATTGGCCAATTGATGAGAAAAACGGAGCCCCACATCAAGTTTATTAAATCGCGGTTTGTGAACTTTCGCTCTATGACCTCGTAAGAAGAGAAAAGATAAAGCTTTTAACACGCAAGTCATGGTTAAAGATACTAAATGCCAATATGAGTTCACCCCGCGTCCTAAGATACGACAAGAGTAAAAGGTTCAGGAGTTGTAATCGCTCATCTTAAAGGAATTCGGAAAGACCCTTCGCTAATTTTGTTCATAAACTCCGAACGCGATCAAGTGAGTTAGCATTTTAATCAGACATTGGCCAGCTGCTCGGATACAGCACTCTCAGCGTGGTCTTACATAGGTGGTACACAAGATATGAAACATCTCGTCAAAGCAGTTGAATGCTCGGCGAAGTGACCATAACGCGTGAAACCCTTTGGTAGCTGCTGCCTTGCAAAGTGTAGTCGTTTTCAAGTCATGAATTACTATTGCCCTTAAGTTTTTATGTTTCTACATACATGTAAAAGGTGTACCGTCATTACTATACTGGTAACTCTTACTGTGTCCGATGTGCACGAGTGTAACCTTCCTAGAATTAACTTCCAAGCCCCAACCCTTGGCCCGTCTTACTGATTCGTGTAGGTCAGCTTGAAAATCAAAATAATTGGCTTCACTTCTTATTGTTTCCCAGATTTTGACGTCATCTTCTGATGATAATGTCGACAATTTAGGTAATAGCAGTTATTCATCGACGTAGGGAAGCAAAAGTAGAGGACCTTAGATGGTGCCTTGGAGCATATCACTTTTGACCGGGTTTCAGTCAGATAACGTCCCATTAGCCTTCACTCTCTGTCTGCCGCCTCATTAGAAGCTACTTATCCATTCCTGTACAGCACTTGTTATTCCAAGGCTCGAAAGTTGTTTCATACGACCTAAGTGTGTCAAATGTCTTACTAAAATCTAGGAATATCACATCAACAGACACCGTTATCTGTGGCAGCTATTGTTGGTCAAGCATGAATACTTATTTCGAAATCCGTGTTGCTCGGGAGGCGGCAAGTTGTTGGATTCAATGTGACATATTAACTTAACTAGAATTATTTTTTCAAGTGACCTTACGACTATGTTGGCTAGACTGACAGGTCGGTAGGTAGATGAGATCTGCTTCTGATCATACTTAAATATAGGACTGACTATAGCATCTTTCCAATCTCTAGGAAGTTGAGTGTGGGAAAGGGACATATTGTCAAGCGTCCCTAGTGGTCTTGAAATAACGTTTGCAAGAGGCAACAGAACCCATCAGCGCCCGGCATCTTACGAGGTTCGAGGTTAGTTATTGGTGGAAGAACGGTCTCCTTAGTCACATGTGCAGGTCCTATGGCTGGTATCTCAGTCGTGTGATTAAGACAAGTATTTTTAACTATGCATATGGAGTAGACTTCGCTAAAATGGCTTGTAAAGTCTCAGCTCTTGCTACATCTGTTGGTGGGAATACCGTCGCTACGTTTTATACCCCGTTTAACCCACAAAAACAATCGTTTCGGGCAGATACGACTATCACATGTCAACTCAATTTCGTAAATAGTACGGCATCTGGTGATGGTCTTTTTAAATATATTCGCATTTAAACGATTCATGTCCTGTTGACAAGAATAAGTCCCAGGAGCGTTTCCTACGCCTCTACGAATTTTGGGTTTTCATATCAACCCTTGGGAACAATGTGATAACTAACTCATTGACCATGGGGTAAACGGTGATGTTATGGAATTTAACTTACCCAATTGGTTCTCAATCGATCCATCCGCGTCAACCGACCAGTCTTTCAAAATAGCACGGTCCCTGACTGCCAGAATATTAGCTCGCCCGATTTTGGGACAAGGTGGAAAAGATACATATTGTATACTGTTCGTACGAAATTTAAAGCCCAGCACATTCTGAAAAATTGACATGAGCACACATCATTTTTTATTTTATACTAAAGTACGAAGATGTTAATGTTCCGAAACAAATTCGCTTGGAATGCTTTTACTTAGATGTTTGTTTCTCTGTTTATTGGAATAGCGGTAAGACCGAATATTGTTTTTCAAGGTCAGGGGGATGATACCGTCAGATGAGGGCCAGCTTTTCGGTTTATACGGATATCTAATCTTGATAATCTTCCTTGCCTTAACATATATACTTCTACGTCTGTTTCCAGACATAAGGGCACGTCTGCCCTGGCATAATTTCAGTGAGGCAACCAAACATTCAAACGCTAATACCCCTGCATCTAACACAGTAAGTTCCATTCTGATTTTGTCTTATACTGAAATACAATTTGTCATAATTGGTTTCAAACACTCTTAAAAGTTTAAGTATTCCTCTTTAAATGCCTTAATATGGGCTGCCTATAATTTACGTTAAATGAATGATTGGTTCTGGTTTCTAAGTTACACTTTGTGTTACTCATGATATTGTTTGTATCGCTATCAATCGACACATTTCTAGTTGATTTGATGATGAGACTATAATCTATAGACGACCTTTGAGCGACGCCGAAACGGCCTTGAGAGTGGACATCTGATTAGGACTAAATGAGGGTTATGAAGCAGATAGATTTCTCATTTACAGTTGATGGTTAGGGTTGAAAATCAAATTTAGGTTTTTCCTTATGAAATGACATCAGCTTCAATGCCAAAACTATTTATCCAAATGTATGGATGAATTTCGTGTCAAAATTCATTACTCGTTATCTGATTGGTTCGTCCATAATTTATGGCCTCCCCAATTTGATTTTGCTGTGCCCTTTGGAAATGTGGAAATTTCAGGCCATCTTTATACAAAGTTCGAAAGATTGTTTAGTCGTTTACCCGCTCGTTTGTAAAATAATCCGGATTTTATCTTAACACATTTGTTCTATTTCTCCGCTATTTTATTAGTTGTGGTGTAAGAACTCAGCAATTGTGCTCAGTGTTTTAGATAATTCATGCGGATATATATATTTGCAAGCTCATCTACGTTTATTACAAGTCATTAGGGGTTTTAATCACCTCGTTTTTTCAGTAGTAAAGACTGATTTGGTTCAGCTGCTGTCAAATTACAAATCTCTTAAGCGGATCGCTTGGTTTTATTTTTAGTCATAGTAGTTACTTTAATTCAGTCCTGCATATCAGCGCTTAGAAAATACAAACCATAAAAACTAATAAATATCATACGCGTTGGATAAGTTTTACCTAGATGTTTTATCAACCTATATAATTCATTTGGTTGAAAGTTAGGAATCAATTTCTTAGGCAAATAATACACCCAATTATTGTCAGGTGATGAATCAACCAGCATTAATTTTTACATACCGTTAATAGATTGTTCTGCTATAACAAATAATTATCTTCTGAATATCTTCGCCACAGGGTTTTCTTTTGCTTTTATTACTAAAATAAATGAACATTATTTTATGTGACCCCGCTTTCATTCTCATTGCTACGTACTCGGTTAGGCCACTCATCTAGAGTTAGCATTAAGACAGTAACGGCACAAACGATGCTTATTCTGATACCTATTCATTTACTTGGCGTTGAGCCACATTCTCAATGTAAGGGTTAGTGTTATTATTCTGTTGGTCAAACGAAAGTTGATAGGGAGCGTTTTGCACATAAAGCTTGGTAACTGAAAGTTAGGCACTTATTTATTTATTATCTATTTGAACACAAATATTGGTACAAAGAGGCATTGAATACATATGCGCCACGCAAGTCACTTGATTTCGGTGTGGGCTATGATACTGCCCGGGTGACCAGACCAAAGCAGGTGGTCTTCTTAAGAGGCCACACCCAGAACCTTCGACCTAAAAGTATGATCCACAATGCAGTGGAGCAACGTCAGGAGATGCAGTCTCATGGTAGCTAGTGACCAATAATCGGTTCATACAGCATTTGTTCTCTCAGGATCATGAAGCCCATGTACACCACTGGTTTGAAATGAGGGTTTTCCAACTTCTCTAGGTGGATTCTTCGTATCCGTCAACCCAGTTAAAGAGCCGGACATTTTCTTTTCATCCTCTGAATTCCGTAAACAACACCCATGGTGCGAGAAGGTAGTGAGTAGGACTTCCCTGTCAGTGGCTGTATACACATGGCCATGTGAGAGCATTTGGAGAAGGACAGCTGACTCTCCCTACCTTCGGCCGTACCAGGGCATTTGGGAACCCGTGATTCTAAGCTTTCTATTCAACAACCTTTACAATATTCCATATGACTAAAGCATAGAGATTATTGAATAAAGTTACTAATAGATAGCTAGATGGAATGTGGTTAGCAGTGGAAGCCAGGATGCGCAGCTAGGCACTTCAAATTGAATTAAATCTCCTCAACCCCAACCAAGTAGCCTGCATGAACCAACATGGCTCAGACTAAAAGTTAGTGACTTTGTGGACTGATGTCACGTCTTGGTTTGGTCGCCCGACACTAGTCAGCATTGCGCGTCGTGGTAATCGGTGTTCAGACATACGTAAAACGTGACCCAACCATCTCTCAGTCGACAAAGATTCACAACCTCATCAACTGATTTACCATCATTCCCTAATACATTGCGTCTGACATCACTATTCTTTGTCCTACTCTACATCTGACTATATCTTAAGAGGAGGCGCCGAAAGGATTATTAGTAGAGGTTAATACAAATAAAATATTGTTGACGTCTCACTAGTCAGTTCCCTGCAACACACATTATGGTAGGAATATACATCTTAAAATTTGTTGATCAGGGGAGATCTGATGTAATTTACCCCTTATATATGTTGGGGCACGTGTCCAATAGTTGTTGTCTAATCTGTTTTTTCGATTCATATAGACTAATCCTCCGGTCTACTGGAATCTAATTCCCCATTTTTGGTCATTCATTTTTTTAGAAACATACTAGTCATTTAAAGGCAATAACTCTAGCATTTAATAGAATCTCAGTCAGTCAGTCATCAAGTTGTTAAATTTCACTTCAAAGTAATAAACTGAAATGAATGTGGAAAGTTTAACATAAGTGCATATTCTAAAGGAAAAAATACGATGTTAGATTGCAGGTTTAGGAATGACGGTTAACGAAAGCTAGGCATTGATTAACACCGGTCCTAGAGCGATATGTTTCATTTATGCAGGACAAAATGCATTCCAAACATGCTTATATTGTCACTCTAAATATTAAGATACTAAGCATTGTAAACGTCTCCACTATATATTATCTACGATAAGTGAATCTGTTGATAGGAAGTCGATTCCATAAAGTCGAATAAAAAAGGCGTTATCTCTATAACTGAGTTAGATTAAAAGGTAAAAAGTAAACCACACTTGATATTGCCTGTCCTAGTGACAGTTTCCCATAGTCGCTGACTTGACCAATAGTATCCTAATGATGGAGCGATAGAATCTAGAAACATGTTACGACACAAGAGAGTTTTTCGAATGAGAGTTTAGATATCATAGACCCCTGGCTGCAGTAAGATTCATTACCCTCTCTGTAGTTGTACAATTCGATGGAAAGAATTAAACCGGAAAGTTTTCTTAGTTTAAATTTTTGCTGCTAGGCATTGAAGCTATCAACAACAAATGTGAGTCAAATTATTTTAATCAGTGGTTAGAAACGTTGGGTAATATAGTTTGGAATCGAATACAATAAACCGAATTCATTTACTCTTTGTTTTCCCTTAGATCCTGAGTTTCAAAATTAGTTTGTACGTTTTATTTCATATATTCATTTCGTCTTCTGCAATCATATTTTCGATGCCTGATCTCTTCTCTTCCTACTCTGAAATTTGTCTTAATAATTACGTCTCACTGTACTGATATAGTGTGGTAACTTGAACGAATGCATATCCTTTTTGAGTTCCATATTATTTATGACTGACTAACTGATATCTTTGATCATCACCGGTTTTGATGTTGAGTTGTTTCTCGAATTTGGCAAGAGTGAATAATGGTAATCGTTGTTTGTAATTTTCCATCATTGAGATTCGGCACTTCAACGAAACAATCTTTGTTACCATATATGTATCCCAAACAGATTACCCCTATATAGACCTTCTTACAATATATAGTATATTTGGATTATGGCTATCACTGATCACAGTAACTGATCAGTTGCATTCTTGAATTTCAACAACTGGAAATAATTAATTTTTATTGATACTTTCATATCCACTGATCAAGAATGTGGCTTATATGAACTCAGTAGCTTAGTAAATAACAGGGGTATTAAATTCGAGTCCTAGTGTGAATGTCAACACTAGAATATCTGGACATCTAGCTGAAAAGTTCTAAATGAAATGAAACATGCTTTCTGGGTGCCACTAGTAGCTACAACCCAAATATACTCAAAGTGAGCGACTTTATTACTAGGTACGAGAAAATTAGAATGAAGAAATCAATTATATATATATATATATATATATATATATATATATATAATGGCTAGTCATATCCTACCGAGTTTCAGTTAAGTAAAACGATGTTCAAACTTGGGATCTATAGGTCGTTTAGGCTAAGTGGTGTAGTCTCTTAAGTGTCAATGTAGATGTGGACGGAAGCTTTCTTGTCTAGTAGCAATGAATTACTGATAATTCAAGGTAGGGACTCTCAATGTTCTTATTTATGTTACATCTAATTAACTTGGTCTTCTTGAAAACCCAATTAATCCAGGTTGGTCGTATGGTGATGGTTTTAAGCTATACATTGATAATATCAGTCATTCAAGAGGATATGTTCCCGTTTAAGGTATGAGGGCGGTTGTCACTTCCCAGTTTTCTTACACTATGAAAAGATATTTCTTCTTGAGAGTTCTGGAAAGGAAACTTGATTAGTATTGGTTACAACGACTCAGTGACGTAAATCTGTAGAGATAAGGTATGGTATAACATTCTTAGGGCCTACCTTTTCTAGCCCATTCCTTCCGTTATGGCAAGGTATGATTATTTTAGATTTTGGTTACCTGAAAAATACACCTTACTATCGTTACATCTCAGTACAGTCATTAGTGTGGCTTCGCCCAGATCAACCAATTACATATCGGTTAAGTAGTTTGAACTTATTTATTATTTATTTATTTTAACACATAAGTATAGGTACAGGGAGGCACCAAATACATATGCGCCACATGAATCTCAATCGATTTGTGTGAGGGCTGTGATACTGCCTGGGTGCCCAAACCGAAGCAGGTGGTTGTCTTAGGGGGCCACACCCCGAGCCTTTGACTTGAACATCTGATCCACAAGGCAGTGGGGCATCGTAAGGAGATGCAGTCCCATGGTAACCGGT